GAACTAGCTGGTGGTAACTTTACTGACTCATTTCCAGAGACAGAATTCAGAATGTCGAAATTATTCAGGTTAGTGCCAATATTACCTGAAAGTGATGCTGAGGTCCCAGTGAGCAGGCCGCAAAGGACAACAAGGCTCCCAACTTGGAACATCTTTGGTCCTGACACCTACATTGTCATAGAGGAAGAAAAGGAAACAGGAATGCACATCGAACACCTGTCATTCTCACGCTTGACCTTCCAACAAGACACATGTGCTTCTGTTCACAATAGGTAAGAAATGGAACCAGCAGAGATGCTCACCATTGCCAGTGGATAAAGAAATTGATGACAAGTGCACAAGGGTATTTTATTGAGCCATGAGGAAAAATGAAATCATGGCATTTCCGGGAAATGAATGGAAGTGGAAGTTATTTTGCTAAACAAGATTATCTAGATTCTGAATGGCAAAATACCCCATTTTCTGTATGAACTCATAAGATAAGGAGACTGTGAGAGAAGAAGAAATCCTAAGGAAAGAGAAGAGGCGGGAGGAGAAAAAGAACATAGAATGCTTGTGACAGGAGGTAAAAGGAAGGAGGTAGAGATTAGCACAGGGTGGGGATGAGGGAGGATAGCAGGGGAGGGAGAGGGATGGGAACTAAGGATGTAGGAAAAAGATACAGTGAACCCCACTTATAGTGAATTTAAAAACAGCAGATACAACTACATACAATAATAACTGAGAAAAATAGTTGGTTTGTTCTGGAGATGAGCTGGCAAGGTTGGGAGGAGGAGAAACTTTAGAGACCCAGCAAGCGTGTGGAGAGGCGGGGCTTGGAAAGACAAGCTGACCCAAGCTCTTTATTCTCAGGTCCTTTGTGCTTGCTGCCTTCTCAGCTTCAGACATATTTCCTCCTTGATTTGTTACCTAAATCTGTTCTCTTGCTTCAGGGAAACTTCACCCCTTCCATGAAGCCAGCTTCAGACCCCTCCCCAGAGAACAGTTCAAGACTCCCACCTCCAGGCTCTACCAAGCTTGCGGCCACACTGTCCTTAAGGAAACAGCTATGGCTTGTATCACTGTTGAGCCTAGACTCCAGGAAGAAGTCTTTCTCCACACACTGAGACAACTCATTGATGAATAAAACCTGATCAGTCAACAGAATCATGAACCTAGGTTGTCATTAGTCAGACACAGTATCATCTACGTCTTCAAATCCATTAGAGTCAAAACTTCCCTAGCATAGACAGTGCCTTCCCTCTGCTTCTTGCTCCAAAGCCTCCTGAAGACCCTCCTGTGCGAGTTTACATTGGAGGGAATACTTACTGGTTTGGAGGAGGATGCACATAAAATACTTGTTTCTCTGCACTGTCTCCTCAGATGCTGGGGTCACAGTGGCCCTTTTATAGAGGTCACAGGATTAGAAGCAATCCTCATTTCAGGATGTTCTAAGGAGTCTCCAAAGAAAATATCTAAGATTAGGCAAGATATTCCAACCCAAAGGTCACACACAGAGCATGCTTAAGTGACAAGAATAGATAGTAATGAACTTTGGTCAACACTAGTTGTGGACCTTGACACTGCCCTGAAGTGGTGGGTTCAGTATGAGCTGGGATGAAGACCCAGAATGGATGAATAAGAGAATGTTGCGGTGGGAAATCTCATAGTGTTTGCCGAGGCTAGTCCATTTCATCATTTGGAAACTAAGAGGTAAAGTGAGTTGCTCATGGTCATGCAATATGTAGGGTAGAATTATGGCACCCACATCACTCTGCCCATCCTGCCTGTGTTCCTTTTCTGCATCTGAATACCCTTGTGATTCCTCTTGGGCAGACCTAGCCTCAATGAGTGGGTGCTGTGACCTGTCAATCAGAAGAACTCACCCTACCTACATGTATTTAATACCAGATACCTAAATGATTTTGTTTAATGCTCCCTCACAAGGTTTTTGCTCAGTGTAGAAAATTCCATCAACACTAAAATCAAAGGATGGAAATGGGACCAAAAATAAAGTGGGATCATGACCACTGTGCTGTGGATTGTTCGTGTTTCTTCTTTATGGAGACATCAAAGCTGGTTGAATAATTCACATCTTTCTTACCTTGATACTGGACATGTTTATAATGTGGCTGTGTGACCAATTGTTACCATTGCACAGGAGGTAGATGTTGTATGAATGCAAAAGCCAGGATGGCTCTGGGCAGAGAGGGAGGAACCCAGCTCCCTTAGTTTAATAGGATAAAACAAAGAAGCAAGGGAGAATTAGGATATGAAATACGAACTCACAGACTGTATCTGACTTAGTTTATAACTGGACCCAGGTCCTGAAATGATGTCCTTTAATTCATGTTCTTAATAATTGCTTTATTCTCTGATGGAATGTGGCTTATTGTTGTAATTGAAGAATGTATGGATGAAGACAGACAAGGAGGTTCTGTAGACACTCCTCTCCTGTGTGGTTCCAGGTATTGTTTATTGCCATCCATGAGCCTGTGACTTAGACTCCTTCTTGCAGGCATAAAATGTGTTTTTTTCATGCTAGCCCATGTCTCTCCTTGAGTCTGTGAGATGGGTGAGCAGGAGAGGCACTTGCTTCATAGGCCCAATGACTCATGTTTGCTTGGCAGAGCACACAGAAAAGTGCAAGAGGAGGCAACAAGTGCTCTGACATCAACAGGCACATGGGCACACATGTACCTTCACTCACACGGGAACATCAGCCAGACACATAAACACAGATTTACAGCGAAAACCTAAATAATATAGAGATGTTCCTTAGGCCATATAGATTGTGGAATCAGACCAAAGCTGGTATCTGGCCTCCTTAGGAAGTCAGGGACAGAAAGAGCTGAAGTATAGGACTCAGGGATGACAGCCATCTTACATTTTGTGAGCTCATCCTGCTCTGACCTTAAGACCCAAGCTGTATTTCCAAATCCTTTGACTTTATGTGCACAGCTCTTCACAGTGTGGATTGCAGAAGCATAAACCCTTCTAAGCTGTTCTAGCATGCAGCCTCTGGAGGCAGCATTGAATAGGACTCAGTCTCCCTGAAGGCAGGTGAAGCCCTTTGCCTGCTGCTTGATCTTTAGACTAGATACACTTTATTAATCTAGTCATCAGGAGGTAAGTTTGAAGCCTCATTTTCCATTGGAAGGAACAGGTTTCTGAGAGGCCCGCTGGTGTCAAGGTCACACAGGGGTGGAACCCAGTGCTTGGGTCCTTCCACCTTCATCAGGCAGCTGCAGGGTGGCAGGGCAGGACTGTCCCTAGGCCTGTACAGCCTGTTGTCCACAGGCCCCATTGTTTGAATTGGTCACCAACGGGCGCCCATGTCAAGTCAGAGCAGCACAGAAACAAGTGGGACCTGGGGACAGCACAGAGCAGGTCACTGCTATTTACCAAGTCCTTAGGGCCTGTCCTCAACATGAGGTGACCATAGCAAAGGACATTATGAACTTGTGATTCTCAGAGCTCTGGCAGTCAGACCCTGCTGTGGCCTTGCATGGCTTGCTTCTCTATGCAGACTCTCTAACTGTGCTGGCCACCATGTTCCACAAACCCATGAAAACCCTGATCCCAGCTATGGGGCACAGATCCAAGGGCCATGATAAAATCTTGTTAAGAGGGGTTTTCACAGCCCAGGAACACAGCCTGGGGGTGCTTTTGTTGGATGTGTTTACCTTATTTGCCGTAGCTACTAAACAGTTTAACTAACACCTTGTACCTGGATGTTCTTGACATGACAGTCAGGGAAGTGTGTGGGGCACCATGATGGTGGTAAGGGGAGTTGGAGGCATCTGTTCAGAACCTCTTACTAGGACTAGGGGAACCAGGATTCAAATTCTCACTCTTCACACTCCTGGCTGAATGACCTGGCATGCGTTTTCTTCCTTCTCTGTGAAGTGAGACTGGAAAGTGCACCTCACCTCCCTGCTATCCATGTGCAGAGAAAACAGGTGGGCAACACATGTGAATGTCCTCACACTGAGCAGACTGTGTACATGGGGACAGTAATGTCTGCAGTTACATTACACAGCACTGTCCTCACACTGGGCAGACTGTGCACTCAGGGACAGTAATGTCTGCAATTATATTACAGAGCACACACAAAGGTTCTTGTTAGGGAGAGTTGGGCTTCCAGAGGCCATCTTAGGCCTGTGCTGGCTCCTCTCAGTCACCTTGGAAGGAGCCTCCCTGTGTACAGAAAGTCTCCTTGAATGTAAAGTACTTCTGTGTCAGGGTCAAAGACTGGGACATAAGTGTCATGGGATAAATTTCTCATTGAAAGTCTCCTGTGAAACATTAAGGATTATCTGTCCTGGTGTAGGACATTCTATTCCCAACATGTGATAATGTGCAGTCATGAGAGCATCCTGGTCCCTCTGACCCTAGCTCTTAATTTGTTCCTAATCAGAACTCAGTGCACTGTTTGTTAAAGGCTACTGAGACCAGAGAGGCCAGTCTTGTGGCTGGGTCATACAGGAACCAGGCTTCCATGTAATAAGAAGCTCTGCTTCCTAGATTTCCCTTACCCAGAATGACAGAAGCATTCCACACACCTTTCCACAGTATAACAGACACAGACATGGGTCCACCACATTCCTAATGCCATGTCGTTTTTAAATCTGGGCAGGT